TATATTTTAATATTTTAAATAATATAACTCTTGGGCATGTCATTGTCTTAAATCTCCCTTCTGCACCGTTCACTTGCACTCTTGGTAAACTCCTAACTAACAGCCGTCGACCAACCCCAGGCACATATCTCCGCCGTCGCCGCCGCCAAGATGCAGAACGAAGAGGGACAAAACGTGGATCTCTACATCCCCAGGAAATGGTACGCTGCTCGATTCTTTTATAATTGAATCGTTCTTATGATTTCTTTCCGTTTTCTTAACTAAGCAGGAAAACTTATCATTGATCTGCTTTTTGTTTCAGTTCCGCCACAAATAGACTCATCACCTCGAAGGATCACGCTGCTGTCCAGATTAACATTGGACATCTAGATGAGTATGGCATTTACAATGGTCACTTCACCACTTTTGCTCTCTGTGGAAAAGTCAGAGCTCAGGCTCGTTTGAATCTCTGTGTCTTTTCTTTTTTCTATTCTTGTAGTTGCAGCTAGGTCTAGTTTTGCCATGTTATGTGCTGAGATCCCTTGTGGTTTAATTAATGCCCTTTGGGAGCTTGATTTGGTTCTTAGTTTTCGATACTGAATATTTCATACATTAGAATGTTAGTAGCCTTTTTAATCTGTATGATTTAAGATGTGTTAAGAGATGAATTCATCACCTGCTGGATGCATTTATATGTTTGGGCTTCTGAGTTCTGATCTGGTTGGGGATGGGGATGGGGATGGATGTTGTATTTTTTGTTAACATTCCTTGGTATTGCTTTATGAAGGTTGTATCATGAGGTTTTGGAATTAACTTAGTGAAATATTTGGTCATCCTTGACAATTCACACTAAAAATTTTTTTTTACCAGTCACCGACCCAAGCATGTCGTAAACCAAAAGCCACAAACAAGACTGATCTTTCCCTTCCCTACCATCCATAAAACTTCAAGTTACTTGACGAGTGATCTTACCATTCATCATCTAAATCTCTCCTCCAAAGCTTTCCTACTCATATTGGTTAGTTCTCAAAATTTCTCGGCTAGTTCAATCGATCCTGGTTTCTCCGATTTTGAATCCAACGCTTACATTAATCCCTTTGCTTCTACTTTGAATCAATTCTTTTCAGTAAGTGTCTCAAATTTCAAGGTTTTCAGTTTCTTAGTGGCTAGGGCTTTGGTTTCTTAATCTACAGTAGCGTATTCAAATGCTTTGATCCTTTTCATTATTTTTGAGACTTAGTGCTGCTATCTTTGTTACTTACTAGATTATTTGCTTCATTTGATTCTTTGGTATGTTTAATTGGTTTGTGACTAAATCCCTAATTCGTTCTTGCTTATACGCAGTTTCGAAGTTGAAGTTGTTCAAGTCGCAAAAATCTCCGTTCCTGCTCGTTTATTATAGTTACTAGATTTAAACTCATCAAAAAGGAATTTAAGTATATTAATAGCCCTTATATACGAATTCTAGACTTCTTAATTGTGGTTGGGTTGTTTATTGTTAATTAGAGAAACATGTAGTTGATGGTTAGAATTTTGGTATCACTAAAGGCTGTTTTATTTCACTTTTGGTACTACTATTTAATCTGATTTTTTTGCATTTTGTGAGCCCTGTTAGTTGCTGTTTTTGTGTTATCATCTTTCCCTGTTCTTGCACATGAATTATGCCAAGTTTCATCATGTTTTACTTCGCCTAAAATATGCCATGAACCATGCATTTTTCTGCACTTTTCCTGCACAGTTTTGTGACTCTAATATGCTGATTTTTGCCCCTAGAACTTGAAAGTTACACAGCACGCTGCTATGGAATTTTGATTATTTTCCCCTTTATTGTACATTTGTTTTGGACACTAACTTCTTGTCCATTTTTCCTCATTTGTTACAAAATTCTGCACTGGTTATAGCTTAAAACTTCACCATTTTGGACTGGGTTGCTGTCATTTTTTCTGCTGTAACTAGGAAGAATTTTGGCAACATTTTAAGGTTGGTTCACGTAACTGGGAAGAATTTTGGACAGCAACTGAAATCGTTTGGAGGGGTTTTTTTATTTTTGAAAAAACCGTTAGGAGTCTGCGTAGGCTCTTCTCAGGTTTCTCATTTCACGCTGGGAGGAAGTTAAAGGACCCGGAAAGAGAATCGGGTTCGGGTTCGGGTTGTCCATTTAGAATTAAGAATGAGCATGTGGTT